ATCAGTATATGCATACAGATCTTATACCTGCTCTGCCTCTCACTTGACCCGCTCCAGTCCTGCGGAGGGAGAGGAACCAAGGATGCCTCTGGCTCCTCAGGGCAGAGAACATGGAGTCCCCAGTGCTGTGAAGTAAAGTGAGCCCTGCAGTGCTGACCAGGAGGGCTTTGGCCTTAAAGGGACAGCACAAGGAAAACACAATAAGACACAACAGAATGCTTGTGCCACTTGTTCCAGATCACTGGTACAGAAGGTTCTGAGAGTGCCAATCCCAACCAGAAGCAGGGAGCCCAACAAACCCAGGAGATCTAACTCCTAGTCTCTACACTTTACCCACTAGACTGTACTCCCTCTAAGAGCTGGGACCAAGAATCCAGCCTCCTCTTGACTCTTCTTTTCTATTAACCCATTCTTCTTCACAGAGCTAGCAGTATAACCCAGGGTATCAGACTCCCAGACCATAATTTAAGGGCTGGTATAGCACTTCCAGAGCCAGTACTAATCCATGCTGCCCAGAAGACTCTGAGTGCCTGATGTAGGGCTGTGTCCAAGAAGTAAAGCACCTCTAGTCTTATCTGCTCACAGCTGCCCTTTGATCATCCCCAGAAAGGAGCAGCAAAAGGCCTGGGATGTTGAAGTTGTCTGAGGCTTTTGTTTTTGTTGTTCTGTGCTAAAAATGCCATTAAAAATAAATTCACCATGGGCCCAATTCATCTCCATCCCAGCTCTGTGTTTGGGGTGGGCTCCAGGGAACTGTATGGAGGTGAAGACTGTGTCATTTTGCATTTCCCCGATCTGGGCTGGCTGGAGGCTTCTGCAGTCCTTGGTGGCACACAAAGCAGGAAGGTGAGGATCAGACTAGAAGAAGCCTACAGGGCAGCCTGAGGTAACCAGGAGGTATTAGGCTACCAGCTTGGGGAAAGTGAATTTTAATAGTAGTATCCTACAGTTTAGGGCTGTGGAGACCGGCAGAGCCGATTGGGGATCAGGTCTGGAATAACAGAGAGAAATCAGGACTAAAACACATTAGGGGAGTTTCAGGGACATCTAGAACAACACCTGACCACACCCCTAAGCATTGTGTTCCCCTGCTTTCATTAGCAATGGGTATGAGAAAAATCCCTCTTTGAAGGAGAAGACAGGTCATAGGTATGGGGTGCTAATATATAGCCTTCTCCACCCTATCATCTGATATCTGCTTACCCATGTAAAATCCCCGGGAAGGTAGGGAAGTGCTAGTCCAGTTTAGAGATGAGGAACTGCAGTGCAGAGACTAAAGCTGACTTTTCCAAATGTGGCACTGGGTTGGAGTTCCTCAGGTTTAGTTTGCTGAACCTCAGATACCTTGAACTAACCTAATTTTCAGAAACGCTAACCCTAAACATCAGCACTCTTAAAGTGTCATCTGTTGGGCTCCCAGCAATGGTGTACACAGTCTGTATTCAATCAGCTCCATCTTCTCATATGCTGCTTCTTGTCTTCTCACATGGCAAACTGTTTGGCCAAGGACCGTGTCTTCACGTGTTGGTACAGCACCCAGCATAAATGGATCCCAACTCCGGGTGGGGCCCCTCAGCCTTTTCATGGTACAAAGATTAAAAATGACAACTCCTATGGACAGCTGCGGCTGCTAATTTGCCTAACCCATCACTGCTCTCTATACCATTTACCCAAATGATGAATAACTCTGTCGATACTGAGAAAGGGTCTCTAAGAGGCTTGACTGCACTGAGAACTCTGCAACCCCTTCTGCTCATAGCAGGAGTGAGAATACACCTTTCTTCAGTAAAAATATCTTGAATCACATTATAAGGCAAACACGATTTCTTTCTTTAGGAAGGCATCTGAGTCAGTGCAATGTTTTCACATGGAAGCTAGAGGGATAGGCCCGGGATGGCATAACCAATATAACACAAGCTAAAAACTGTCAGTGGAGAATAGTTATTCATAAGTCTACAGGGAGAGGGATCAAGTACAATACCTCCCTGCAGGAAGCTGCTCTGCATCCAGCTCCTGTCAATATTTGCATTTGCAGCTTTGGAGAATATCTGCTGGGCAGCACTGCCAAGTTGGGAGGGAATCACAAGCACTTTGGGGGAACAAAGTAAATTATGGATGAATCTGAAATGAACAGGCTTGTTCCAGGACAAACAGCACAATGGTATCTGCCATTGGAAAGAAAAAAGGGCAATGCTTTATTGCAACTCCATTTCATATGGCTGCCAAGCCTTCCCTGGCTCTGTGCTTGCTATAGCTCTGCAGTCCTTCCCTTATAACAGGATGGCTACACTGTCATGACCCCCAGATAAAGGACAAGGACACAGAATGGATGGATTGTCTGGGGGCCTGGAAATGTTACCTAGGCCGTGTGGACAGGATGTCTTGTGCCATGTGGGACCTGGGATACAACCTCTCTACAGATGAGCAACGACTGTAGGTTGATACAGGCAATAAAGATGGTGGGCACCTTAGCTTGCCTGACCATAGTAGGTGCCTGAGTTGAAAGACAAAGGAATAGCTCAGCTAATCCAAACCCATCAGTGCTTAAAGAAGATGCTAATAGGCAAGTAGCTAAGATAACGGATGTTGGTGAAATTCTGCCAGCCATGAATAAAGAGAGAATAATAAAATACATGGTGGGTGAGATGCAGTCTCCAGGCTCCTGGCTGCAAGGAGAGCAAGACTTTGACCCTGTTACCTGAAGCAGGGGAGTCTGTCCTTATCTGACACAACTGCAAGGGATCTGACTTCTCAGCAGCCCAGTCATTTTCTGTGCACTCAGGAGAGCAAAGACAGCAGCAGCCACCTGGTAGCATCTCCTTCCCAGCTGCTTGTGCTTGACTGAGCGAAGTTCAGGGATCAGCAGGGACTCTGAATTGTTCTCTGGGACCTTTTAAGTGTCTTGACCTTAACAGCAGCAGCAAAGCCATTATCTCTAGTGCTGAATGAGCTAAAGCAGGGGTGGGCAAAATGCGGCCCATGGGCCACATGTGGCCCGCCAGGCCAGTCTATCCAGCTCACAGGGCCCCTAAAAATTTTAGAAAATTAATATTGATTTGCCCCTGGCTGCCTATCATGCGGCCCTTGATGCCTTGCCAAAACTCAGTAAGCGGCTCGCCGCCTGAAATAATTGCCCACCCCTGAGCTAAAGCCAAATGTCAGATCTCTGCCATTATTGTAGGTGACTAGCCCTGAAGGGCAGGGACACTTCTCAGAGAAGCCCAAGATAGAAGGAGAGGAGTGGTGCTATGCAGCATTCTCTTGGTTCCTTCTCCCTTCGGGAGAATAAGGAATCCATCACTGCAGAATACTCTTAAAATCTGAGGGCAAAGCAAGCTGGAGGCTGCTGAAAACACTTTGAAAGCAGGACTGGAACTTAAAATGATCTCGAGAAGCAGTCTGACACGCACAAGATAACATTCAGCAAAGGCAAGTGCAAAGTGCCACACAGAAGCCAAATACAAAATGGGGAATAGCTGGCTATTCTACAGAAAAGGGAGGCAGCTCAAATGCACTGGGAACTGAACAGCAGCCAGGTACCAGTGTTGTGGCAAAGAAGACATGATCATTCAGGGGTGTAGTTACAAGAACATCGCATGTGAGATCAATGGTTCTCCAAGTCCACTGAAGGTGGGGCAAGAAGTACTTGATTAATCCTCATGCTGCAAACTACTGGGTGAGACATTAGGAAAAACCTTACAAACTATAAAAATCCCTGGGCACCAGAACAGTTTAGCGAAGGAGAAAGTTTTAAATAAGAGATTAGACTGCAAATGCTATAAAGCCAAACTGCAAAGCCAAGCCCTCAGAGGTTAGAAAGTGACCAAATTAATCACTTGTCCAACCTTAATTTGGCCCTCTTGTGCATGTGTATCATGACAGATTAATTCATTACATGATCATATAGTGTTTTCTATCCAGGATTCCAGCCTTACCCAATGCATAGGATGGACAGTGCTCTCATAACAAGCAACTATTCAGCATTTTGTTTTCTCCCCATAACTCAGTATGTGACTTTAGACCTTCTTTACTGCTCACTGTTCAAACTCTGCTCTAAAGACAAAATTATTAATTTCCTCACAGGCTTTCCTCAGCCAATCTGCACTATGGTCTCCAATTGCCTCACAAACATTAATGAACTTGCCTTGGCAATGCCCCTGTGAGGTGAGGGAGTGGCAGTATTGTCACCATTTCACAGGTAAGAAACAAGGACAGAGAGAGATCAAGATGAAAGGCATCCACTAATTTGGGGGTGACCAATTTTAAACAAATAGGAGGCCCTAATTTTAAAAATGTTTGCATTCTTACAGCTCTATATATTCCACACATGGTTTCTGCTGAGCAGAGTTGCAGTTGTGAATGCTGAGTGCTACTGTATGCCAGACTTCAAGGAACCAAGTTGGGTACCCAGATAATGAGGAATGCTAATTAGTGGACACCTATGAAAGACTTTCTATAAGTAACTTCTCCCTTTCCCCTTTAAACAGGAACAGAAGCTGGACTAGAAGCCAGTTCTCTAGAGAGACATCAGTTACCTTTCTTTTGAGATCTTCTGTTCTCTTCCCACAATCCCCTGCCTCATTCAATGGACACCTGACTTCTGCCGCCAATGAAGCAAGACTCCTACAGACAACATCTCCTCCCCAGAGAAAGTCCATCATGTGCACTGAAGAGGCTGAGGTCTTGTAGCCAAGATGGTCAGTGATCATACAAGGAAAGGCTATATTGTTATGCATACACCCAGGAGAATGGATTTCAGGTTACACAAACAAGCTTAGTTCTGCCAGTTCTCAGCTATGGAGTTTTCAGCTACAACCCAAATCATTTGAACAATTTCTTACATCCAGTTTTCTAGGTTTTATTATCATCAATAATAATAACAACAACAACCATAACAATAATAAAAGCAATCAGAAAAAACAAAATTCCATCGTGAAACACAAGCGGGACTGAAACCTTTACTTTTGCCACATGACCTAGCTCCCAGGCCCTGCACCTACCTGCCAAAACTGGAATAATGAGCACCTCCTACTTATCTGATGACCATAGCAGGAGGCTCAGAAATGACTGATAAGAGTCTCAGTTGCTTCTGAAGATCAGCTGGGATGGCAGGGACCATTTAAGATGCCCACGATGTCTCCTTCAGCTCCTGATCTTGCTGCCTGTAACAGGACCAGTCCCTCAGGGGTGGCCATCTTGCCCCCTAGTGGTAACTCAGCTCTTGCACTGCTCAATCTCTAAGGCAGGGTCAGCAACCCCTGGTATGCATGTGGAGCATGGCACATGAAGCCATTTTGCTGAGCACAGCCCAGGCTCTAAGCATCTACTGCCAGCCACGGAGCCTGGGCTGCTCCCAGCAGGCGGCTGGGAGACTACAAGCCCAGCTGCAAGCAGCCCAGGCTCTATGGTTGGCAGCAGCTACCCAGAACCTGGGCTAGCTGCAGCCAGGAGGCTGCAAAGAACTGCTCTGGGCTCCAGCATCAGCTCCAAAACAGCAGGTGCACGCACGCCTCAGAGTGGACAGTGGGGGAGGGGCCTGAGGCAGCACAACCCTGGCTTCTCCCCCGCTGCCAGCACAGAGCTGGTGACTGGGCTCTAAAGCCCGGCACAGTTGTTCATAGCCAGCCTGGGCTCTGGGCAGCCGCAGCAGGCAGCAGGCAGGCTGCAAACAGCTACACTGGGCTCCACAGGGATTTGGCTTCTCAGCCCTGGCATCAGCTCCATGCTGGTGGTGACTGCATGTGCACTTCAGAGGGACAGCGGGGATAGGGCCCAAGGCAGCACAACCCTCCCACCGTCTGCTCTGAGGTGTGCATACAGTCCCCTGCCAGCATGGAGCTGATGTCGGGGCTGTGGAGCCCAATGCAGCTGTTTACAGCCTACCCAGTGCCTGCTGCAGCTGCCCAGAGCCCAGGCTGGCTACAAACAGCTGCGCCAGGCTCCGGAGCCCAGTCACCATCTCTGTGCTGGCAGCAGGGGAGAGGCCGGGGTTATGCTGCCTCAAGCCCCTTCCCCACTGTCCACTCAGGCACACATGCACCCGCCGATATGGAGCTGATGACGGAGCCCGGAGCAGCTGTTTGCAGCCTCCTGGCTGCAGTTAGCCCAGGCTATGGGTAGCTGCTGCCAACCACAGAGCCTGGGCTGCTTGCAGAAGGGCTTGTAGCTGAGCCTACACCTGTCTCCCACCTGCTCCGTGCCCATCCCCGGCCCATCCCCACCACCAGGATGAGGCTGGTGCTGCCCCATGCCAGGAGCACTGCTCCTTTGCGGGCTTGGCTGTGTGGGGTGGGTGAGTGGATGGGCTGATGGGCTGGCTCCGGGCCAAGGCCTAAGCCGGCTGCGCTCCAGCCCAGGGGCTGGCTCCCTGGGGAAGCACAGAGGATCCAGTGGGCCCAGGGCATTGTTGGGCCAGACTTTGTCCGGTGGCCCAGCAGCCCAGCTCTGTACACCCATGCATCTTGTTTTGCGTGTTTGTCTGCCTGTCTGGTTCCATGTGTGTGTGTGTGTGTGTGTACACATGTGTCTGGTTCTGGATGTGTGTGCGCATGTGTCTGTTCTGGTTCTCTGTGTTTGTGCACATGTGGTTCTGTGTGCATGTACATGGCTGGTTTTCTCTCTCATCTTTTTTCTCTCTCTTTTTTCCTCTCTCATTGCAATATGCTTACAAAAAAGGAATACACAACAACAAAGGCAATATTTATGATTATTAAATATACTAATATGCAGTGCATCCTGCCATGTACCCCCCACCCAACCCTCTTTTTTGCGGGGGGAGGGACGCGCCAGCACTCTAGTACCTTCCAAGGTAGACATTGTGTTTTTTTAGGCAATCCGGCCAAAAAACATTGCCTACCCCTGCTCTAAGGTATCTTCCCTTTGCTTTCATCTGCCACACCTTGATCTTGTTAATAAAAAACTTGGAAGGGTCTAGATCCAGCTGTAACCTGTCCTCTTTACACATGGATCTCTCTTGGACCCCATTGTTCCCAATCAATTCTTCCCACTGGGTGAGCCTTCCTGGCCCACATGTGCCCCCAAGAGCACCCATTGCCTTGTGGGCTAATCACAGCCTCCAGCCTCCCCTGTATCCATGCCCATGCCTCATAGGTGTACCAATCAAACAATCTAGTGGGCCTCAGCCTCAGTCTCTCCTCCAGTCTCCTCCTCTCCTGGGCTGTACTTTCTCTATCATCATCTCTGCCCCTCTTTGGGCTGTGGGCTCTCACTAGCCCCTCTTTTTCCCTACCTGGGCTCTGGCCTTGGCTCAGCCTCTCTCAGCCACTGTACTACTGCTTACTCTGCCCTCCTGGCAGGGTCAAACCTCATGTGCTTTGCTGGCACTACTGGGACCTCCTCTTGCCCCCTTCCAGTCCTACTCAAACCACCAACTAAAACACAAACCAACACACCAGCTCAGTGGCTACAACTTAATCCCCTAAGCATGCCGGTAACCTGAAATCCCCACCCTACAGAGTCTCATCCTCATGCCAGCCCTCAACTCCTTACTGACATATCTCAGGGATAGAAGCATCTCTATCAAGCTCTCATCAGCAAGCATCTTACTGCAGAGCTCCTTCCCCTTCAGCCTCCAGGGCCAGAATGACTGTTTGGGTTCTGGCCCTGGTTTATATGCCAGGAGAGCCCTGCCCCCTTCCAGTCAGATGACTCCCTGGGCAGCCTGCAGGTTTGATCCTAACTGGTTTGACTTACTCACCTTCAAAGTAGCCTATAGCAGCAGACCTAGTAGTTGTAGCCTTGCCTTGTCTCCCACACAAGGCTTGGTCTTGTACTACTGCCAGAAATCTGCTAGACTGCAGCATGTTTCTTGCTACTCACATAGATTACTCCACTATTGTAATTACTGTACTACTAGCTACTACCTATTGCTGTGCTACTAGAACAGCAATCGGCACCTCCCATTCCTGGGCTCTGGTGGTCTATCTCGTTACAGCTAGCCCCCTTTTAGTCAATCTGGGCTCTGTTTGCCCGTATTTTCTTCTCTGCCCCCTTTTACTCTCACCCCTTGATGTCCCCTGGGGAGGTACTACAGTGTCCTCTACCTAACTGTAACAGAATGCCCTGTACCCAGGGATCAGTGGGACTACAGGAAGCTGCTTCCATCCCATCAAACCCACAGCTTCCTCTGGCCTAGAATTCTGTGGACCAAAACAGTGATGCCTGTGTTGCTTTCATGGTCAGATAACTTCTGCCCACTGACTCTTTATAGAAGATGTGGGCAGTTCTGAGTTAGCCTATGGATGGCTTACAGAAGCCATCCATTAAAAAAAAAATCTTTCTATATCAATTATGCAAATATAGCTATTACCCGTATACATGTCTAATCTTTTTACCTACCCCATTAAACCCTATGCCTATAGGACATCTTGTGACCAGGAGTTCCACAAGGTAGCTTGTCCACTGTAATAAAGCGTTTCCTTTTCTTCATTTCATTAGCTGCCTTTTCATGTCATTGATCATTCCTTTGTTCTTCCAGTAAGAGAAAACAAGAAGAGAAGAATGTAGTTTGCCTGGTCAAATCCATCCATTTTCCTGCATATCTCTTTCACATCCCATTGTCCTAGTCTCCTCTCTAAACTAAGGAGTTCCAATCTTTCTATTCTCTTCATAGGAAAGTCTTCCTAGGCCTCTACTCATGGTCAGCATTATTTCTGAACCCTTTCTATTTCTACTCTCTCCCTTCCAGGATACAGAACAACTGGAATTGATCACAATGCTCCAGGTAAGGGTCTCCCACCAAGTTGCATAATAACATTACCATATGTTCTGTATTTTTTCCATCCTAATCCTTTGCTTGACTTTTTTTATACCACCAGTGAACATGAAGTTGGATCCAACAGCTCCTCCATCTTTTCCCTGAGTGGTCACAGTTAGAAAAAATGCACTGATGTGTCTAAAAGGATCAAATTATTCCTTTCCATTATGGATTCTGCTGTATTTGAATTTCATCTCCTACCATGCTGTCTGTTCACTTAGCTTTATTCAGTCGCTCTGAAATTCTTCAGTCCTTTCTGGTCTTGACTAACTTAAATAAGTTTGTGTTGTCTGCAGACGAGAGGCAACTAATGAATCAGGTTACTTTGTTTACAAAGAGGTTCTGCCCATAGGAAAGAGGATTCCTTGTTCTCAGAAAAGTCCCCACAACAGGACTGTTGACTGCTGCTTGCGCCCACAGGTTCTACTGCGATTGCCCGTTATTGTTAGAACCCTGCAGCCCACACAGAATGAAAGCACTTACCAGAAACCCACACACTGAAGCTGGCAAGAACCTTTATTTGGTAACCTCTAAGACAATGTCAAGTCAGGGTGCCATGACGGGGCATTAATCTGTTGTCAGTTCCAGCCTCAAGAGTAACCATATATATGCCCTGTATACATGTTCCATTGGATTTCAAATCCGTGCCATGGGCAGAAAAACCTGGGCTGCTTGCAGAAGGGCTTGTAGCTGAGCCTACACCTGTCTCCCACCTGCTCCGTGCCCATCCCCGGCCCATCCCCACCACCAGGATGAGGCTGGGGCTGCCCCATCCCAGGGGCACTGCTCCTTTGCGGGCTTGGGTCTGTGGGGGG